GGGGTCGGCGGCGAAAAAAAGGAATGCGACGTGGCCTCAGCTGCCCTCCCCCTAGAAGGATTCCGATTGAACGCTTCCACAAGAAGGATTCATCGTGAAATCCTCAACAGAAGGATTCCTATCGAAACCCTCCACTGAGTGCTTCCTACTGAAATCCTCCACATGTAGATTCCTATTGGAATCACACGCAGAAGCCGCAGAAGGATTGAGATTGTTCACATGTACACCCTGCGCAGAAGGATTACATGCGAAACCCTCCGCATAAGGATTCCTATGACATCTACCACAAAAGATTTCCCCCATTGGCAGTGCATTGGCATTGGGTTCGGATCGTTTTGGCATTTGTATGGCACTGCGTTGGCACTGCGCTGGCATTGCGCTGGCGAGTTCCGGCACCTCCCTTCGCAGAATGATTCCTGTTGAACCCCCCACAAGAAAGATTCCATTTTAAGCATTCCACAAAGAGGGGTTCATATTGAACTCCCTCACGGAGGGATTCCATTCGACGCCCTCCATAGAAAGATTTTTCTTGAACCCGACCACAAACGATTTCCCCCACTGGCATTGCAGTGGCATTGAATTGGGATCGCGTTGGCATTGGTTTGGCATTGCGTTGGTATTGCGTTGGCATTGCGCTGGCGAGTTCTAATGGCTCCCCCCATAGAAGGATTCCTATGAAAAACCTTGCACAATAAGGGATCCTTTTGAAAACCCCCACATGAAGGATTCAAAATGAACCCCCCCACAGAAAGAGTAAAATCGAAACCCTCCACGGGAGGATTCCTATCGAAATCCTCCGAGGAAGGATTCGTCACCAAATCATCCACATAAGGATTCCTAGTGAAATCTGTTGGAAGACAGGAATCCCGCCATCGGCAAATAACCCCCCGTTGGCATGTTATTGGTATTGGTTTAGCAATGGTTTGGCATCGCATGAGCATTGCGTTGGCATTGCGCTTGGCAGTGCGTTGCTAGCGTGCCTGCGTTTCGCAAGCATTGTGATGGCGAGTCCTAATGGAACCCTCCACAGAAGGACTCCGAACGAAACCTTCTACAAGAAGGACTCCTATTGAAACCCTCCACAAAAACTGTTCATATTGACACCCTCCGCAGAAGGATTACATGCAAAACCCTCCACATAAGGATTCCTATTGAAATCTACCACAAAGGATTTCCCCATTGGCAGAGCATTGGCATTGGGTTAGGATCTCTTTGGCATTGGTGTGGCACTGCGTTGGCACTGCGCTGGCATTGCGCTGGCGAGTTCCGGCACCTCCCTTCGCAGAATGATTCCTGTTGAACCCCGCACAAGAAGGATTCCAGTTGAAGCATTCCACAAGAAAGGTTCACATTGAATTCCCTCACGGAAGGATTCCATCCGAAGCCCTCTACAGAAAAATTCTTCTTGAACCCGACCACAAACGATTTCCCCCATTGGCATTGCATTGGCAGTGAATTGGGATCGCGTTGGCATTGGTTTGGCATTGCGTTGGTATTGCGTTGGCATTGCGCTGGCGAGTTCTATTGGCTCCACCCACAGAAGGATTCCTATGAAAAACCTTGCACAAGAAGGGATCCTTTTGAAAGCCCCCACATGAAGGATTCAAAATTACCCCCCCCACAGAAAGATTAAAATCGAAACCCTCCACGGGAAGATTCCTATCGAAATCCTCCGAGGAAGGATTCGTAACCAAATCGTCCACATAAGGATTGCTGTTGAAATCTGTTGGAAGACAGGACTCCCGCCATCGGCATTGCATTGGCATTGGTTTGGCAACGGTTTGGCATCGCATTGGCATTGCGTTGGCTTTGCGATGGCAGTGCGTTAGCAGTGCGTTGGCATTGCGTTGACATTGCGCTGGCGAGTCCTACTCAAACACTTCACAGAAGGATTGGATTCCTATTGAACACCCCAACAAAAAAGGATGCCTATTGAATCCCCCCACAAGAAGGATTCACACTGAAATCCTCAACAGAAGGGTTCCATGCGAAGCCCTCCATATAAGGCTTCCGATTGAAATCCCCCGAAGAAGGGTTCTTAGAAGGATTGCTGTTGAAATCTACCAAAAACAATTCCCCCCATTGGCATTGCATTGGCATTGGTTTGGCATTGCGTTGGCACTGCTTCGGCATTGCGCTGGCGAGTTCGAATGGCTCCCACCACAGAAGGACTCCTTACCTTCCACAAGGAGGGATCCATTTGAAAGCCCCCCATGTAAAAGATTCATACTGAACCCCCCCACGGAAGGATTCCAATCGAAACCCTCCACAGGTAGGATTCCTTTTGGAATCTACCACAAAGGAAACCCCCCGTTGGCATTGGATTGGCATTAAATTGGGATCGCCTTGGCATTGGTTTGGCATTGCGATGGCAAAGCTTTGGCATTGCGTTGGCATTGCGCTGGCGAGTCCAAATGGCTCCCTCCGCGGACGGACTCCTACTGAAACCCTCCTCAAGAACGATTTCGATTGAATCCTCCCACATGAAGGATTCCTAGTGAAACCCTCTACATGAGGATCCCTATCGAAACCCTACACATAAGAATTGCGATTGAAATCCTCAGAAGAAGGATTCGTAATGGCATCATCCATAGAACAGTATTCTTATTGAAATCCACCGAACGAAAGGATTCCCCCATTGGCATTGCATTGGCATTGATGTTGATTGGGAATGGATTTGTATCGCATCGGCATGCACTGGCCTGGTGCAGGAGATAGACAAAGAGAAAGAGAGAGAGAGAGAGAGAGACAAAAAGAGAGAGAGAGAGAGAGAAAGAGAACACTAGAGAACGACATAACGAGAAAATATTAGTATGAGGGGATCACGGCGGAAAGAAAAATTACAAATAACAATCAAAGTTTAAGGGCGAAAGAGCGTCACTCAATAAAAAAAACGTATGAAAACGACGAGGGGCTCCACAATCCCCCGGCCTCTCCTCCTCCTCCTCCTCCTCCTCCTCCTCCTCCTCCTCCTCCTCCTCCTCCTCCATTTCCTCCCTGCAGCGCGGACGACAACGGGGTCCGGATCACGACTTGTCCCAATGCAGAGTCGGAATTGCGCTGCTCCCACTCTCAACCTCCTTCCTGATGCGCTGTTGCACAGGCACGGTGGCAGGGTTTTCCGCGGGCAGCTGGATAACATAGTACAGTGGAGGCCAGTCCACAAGAAACCTTTCACAAGGAACCTAACCCTGAGACCCCAGGGCGTCCGTCGATTTTTGGCGTGGGAACGTCACGCCTTCCATAGTAGAACCATCGAAACCCAAGAAACCCACGGCTCCCTGGAGGCAAGCAGGGTGTTTCTTGGCAGGGCCCCCCCCCGCTGTAGTATAATGGACATGCTCCTGGCACCCACGTCATCACAGCCACGCTGACTCCTGCTGCACAGGGGGAGTCGGAGAAGGAACGACAAGGAAAAAGACGCGGCAACGACTGCCTACATCTTCGGCGACACCCTCTGCCTGCCCCAATCTGCCATTGGGCGTTGCTTAATGGGGGCGGATAAAAGGGGGGGGAGAGAAAGGTGCACTTTTCGGGCCCCGCAGGCCTCCTGTTGGGCCCTGAAGGGCCCCTTTCTGCAGCCCTCGTCGCCCCCCATGTGTTGCCCCCTCACCAATCGCGGCCCAAGGCCAACCCGCAGAGACACTCTCCGGACCACCCTGGGGTCCTCGGAAGTCTCCAGGAGGGGAGGGCCCCTCGGAGTCTTCGGAGGCCCCCGGAGGCCCGAGGAGACTTCGAAAAGCGAAACGGCGTCGGTCCACAATCCTGCAGCCTCGATCCTGCTCCTGACCAGTGTCGCGCACACGCCACCGACCGATCAGCGGACCTCCCCCTGCCTCCCAGTTGAGGTCCCGAGGGAAGCGGGCCCCGAATGCCCCCAGGCTCCCAGGGCTCTCACGGGGAACAGACTCTCGTCCTCGCGGCTATCATTCGGTGATCCTGGGGCCCAGAAGGCCGCTGTCGGCAAGAGAACGCACGACCCAGACACCCGCGGCTGTGGTTTTCCATGATGTGGACCCCTACAGGGTCTGGACCCCCTCTCGGCGACGGGCATTTCACCCTGAGGCCTTGCTTCACAGCCTGGGGGCTCCCCACAAGCCGAAACTTCACAAAAAACTATTGCGACGCGGGGGAGTCTGGGGACCCCCTTCTCGGCGGCCAGCCCAGGGGGGGAAGTGAGAGGGGACGGGCCTTCTCAGAATGCTCGGAAGTCCTCCAGCCTACTGAGAAAGTGTCTCAGCTTGCCCCGAAGCACACAAAACTCATCTGAACGCCAGAGGGCTTCTGAGAAGCCCCGCCATATGACGAAGAGACCTGCTCCTTCTTACTTCCACCTCTCGCTCGCCGCCGAGAGTCGGTTTCCCTCGTGGCAACCCTATCAGCTCGCAGGAAACACTCTTCTGCGGGCGCTGTCGACGACGCGCGTGCGCCTGGCTTCCGCCCGTCGCCAGGCACTGCCCCAGCCGTCACCAAGCACCGCCCCAGCCGCCACCGAGCACCGCCCCAGCCGTCACCAAGCACCGCCCCAACCGTCACTGAGCACCGCCCAGCCGTCGCTCAACTCGGCAGCGAGCGAGGGGGGGGTTAAGAGAAGGAAAGGCATTCGCAGAAAGCGGCGGGGCTTCTCAGAAGCGCTCCAGCCTTCGTAGAGGCCTCCTGCGCCTTCGGTGAAGGTCCAAAACACTTCTCAGAAGGCTGGAGGACTTCCGCGCCTTCTGAGAAGGCCCGCCCTCGGGGATCTTCTGACCCGGGTCGATCCAGACCTGGGTCAGTCAGGCCTTGCAGGATCCTGCAGGATCCTGCATCCGAACCCGGGGCCACTGCACCCCTGACTCTGCAGGATCCTGCAGGACCCGGCGCTCTGGCTGACCCCCGTTTGCATTGACCCCCGCCTCTTGAGCCCCTGCGCCCCCTCTCAGTCCCCCCCCCCCCGGGCTGGCCGCCGACCAACGCCGCCCAGCCGTCGCTGCTCGTGCCCCGCGCGGCGCGCGAGCGCGGGCCTCCTCGTCGTCGTCCTCACCGCCGAGGCACCGCTCCTGGCGGCGGGGCCTGGGCCTCCCCCGTTCTGCGTCTGCACGGAGCTCCCTCCGCCCGCCTCTGCTGCAGGGGGAGGCCCATCACATCGACAGCCAACCCGGATGATAGGGACGCGCGACGAGGCCCCCAGTGAGCCTCGAGAGGCCCCCAACAATAGGCCCAAGGGAGGCCCCCAAACGGCCCCCAAGGCGCTCCCAGACTGCCTCCTAGAGGCCCAGCCACACCCCCAAGCAATTCCCAAGACGCCCACAAGAATCCCCAGATGGTGCCCAAGCAACCCACGAAGATCTCAACCGTGGACTCCCTGCCTCTTCTGGGGTCGGTGGCATGGCGTAAGCCGCTTAAGTCAAAAGGACGCATGATCAGGATGCAAGGGCCTTGGAAGGCCATGTCGACACTTTGCGGGCGGGGCACGGCCAGCGAAAGCGGCCAAGGATGGGACGAAGGGAAAGCGTGCAAGGGCAACCTTGAAGAGTCGCTCATCCTCAATGTGCGGGTTGACTGTAACTGAACGGGGTTGACTGATAAAGCTAGGTGAACATTACTCCGACGGTACGACCCCGCATCAGAATCTAATTCGCTTGCCCCTCGCCCTTTTCCTCTTCTCCCGCTCCCTCCTCCTCCTCCTCCTCCTCCTCCTCCTCCTCCTCCTCCTCCGGCTTCTCCGTCCTTCTCCCGCTTCTCCTCTACCTGGCGCAGGCCCTCCTCCCGCTTCTGCGTCCTCCTCCTCCTCCTCCTCCTCCTCCTCCTCCTCCTCACCATCATGATTATCGTCATCCTCGCCCTACTCGTTTCATGATTATCCTCCTCCCTCCTCCTCCTCCTCCTCCTCCTCCTCCTTCCGCCTCCTCCTCTCGGCCCGCCTTCTCTGCATCTTCCTCTGTCCCTCATGTTCCACCTCCTCCTCCTCGTCATTTTCCTCCTCCTCCTCCTCCTCCTCCTCCTCATTTTCCTCCTCCTCCTCCTCTTCCACCTTCTCATCCTTCTTCCCCTCCTCATCTCCATCCCGCCTGCTCTCCTCATGCACCTCTCCTTCCTCCAGGCAGGGGCGCGCATGTCGATGTGCCACGGCGCCGTCACCCCGTCCCCTCCCCCTGTCCCCACCACGTCCCTCACACTCCTCCCCGCCCGGTCGCCAGGCTTCGAACGTTCGCCCATGGGTAGCCCGCCCAGCGCATCCCCACGCCAAAGAGACCCCCGAAACGAACCGCGATGCACTCACAGACTCACCACCGGTCTGGGGAGGGAGGTGCGAGTGAGGGCGGAGGGAGAAGCAGGCAGAAGGTGGTTAAAAAATACAGAGTGAAAAATGAAAAAAAAAACAAAACGAAAAAAAAAAGTAAAAAAGCAAAACACAACAACCCAGCCAAAACAACCCACCTCCCCCAACAACATCACTCCCACCCCCCCACCCAACACATCCCCCCGCCCCCACACACAAACAAGGGTCCCTACAACCTAACACCTACTTCAACGGGGCTCAGCATGACAGTGGGGGGTATGCTACTCCCTAGACCTCTCCTGGGGCGCGTTCCAACCAGGATTTCGAAGCGAGTCCAGCCGTGGTGACGAGGGCCTCCCAGGAGGCTCAAGAAGGGGAAAACGAGGCAGGGGCAGCGGCATGGGTGCCTTTTCCTCCCTTGAGAGGGGGGGGCCAGTTCGGGACCGCCCCCCCCCCCTCTCTCGCACAGGGCCCCCGCGCTGATGCGGCCCGACCCTTCGGCCACGCACGCGCGCGAGGGGCCCCACGCCTGCCCCACCGCTGCTGGAGCCCTGCGTGCTGGGGCCCGCCGTGGCCCGGTCCTGCGGGCTCGAGGGCCCCCTGGCCCGATGGCTCCCTGAAGACCTGGGGGGGCCCGTGGCCCGTGGCCATTCCTCTCCCCCTCCTCCTCCTCCTCCGCCTCCCCCCTCCCCTTCCTCCTCTCTCCTCCTCCTCCTCCTCCCCTCCTCCTCCTCTCCACCTCCGCCTCCCCCTCTCCTCCTCCTCCTCCTCCTCCTCCTCCTCCTCCTCCTCCTCCTCCTCCTCCTCCTCGTCATCGGTAACTTCCTCTCTCTCATCTCATCCCTCCCTCTCGTCCTCCCCGCCCCTCCGGGAGGGAGGGAGGTGTGGGCAGGACAGAGGGAGGGAGAAGCAGGAGGCAGCAGGGCGGAAGGCACAGAAGCATGTTGCGGACACCCAAAGGCGGCGACTCGCGACCCTCTCCCTGCGCTTACCATCCCGAGTTGTTTTTGCTGCGGCCCCGGGGCCCTGGTGAGGGCCCCCATAACGCCGAAGATGCCCTCCCGCCGTGGTGCCCGTTCAAGACGCGAGGGGTCTGGGAGGGAGACAGGACCCGGGCGGATCGGGCGTTCACCAATGGGGGGGGCGATAGATGGGGGGGTAAGAATGGAGCACCTTTCGTGCACCTTTCGTACCCCTTCGGGGCCCTAGGGGGATCGTGGGCCCCTTTCGGACCTCTTTCGTGCAACCCTCGACGCCCCCCCCCCCATATATCGCCCCCCCATTACCGAACGCCCGAGCGGACGAGTGGGACATAGCACCGGGGGGGGCCAGCGGAATGCAACTGGTTTTCCTAGCGCCAACTGGTGGCGCAGGCGCCCGTGCATGCGGCCATCTCGATGTTTGTTCGAGCCGCTGGATGTCTGGGTTCAGGACCCCTTGTCTGCAAGTCTACATCCTCCCCACATGTTTTTCGAGGACTCCCACATGAGGTCCGAGTAGATGGTGTCGGAGGACGCCGATGCATCGTCGATGTCCAGCATGGAGAGGATCGGGCCACACATCGAGTTGCATCCCCGAAGCACCGGCGATGCGGCGCTGCCCACCGACCGCATCTACGCGGACCCCAGCTGGGAGGCCTAGGGTATGTAGAGAAACCAACAAAACACAGCACACACAACCAACAAATTGCGGTCCGCGCAGATTTCTTGGATCCGCGGCTGAACCCTCTTCCCTGGCGCGCGGAGCACGCCAGGGGCGGCGCCGGAGGCTCCGCCACAGGGGTCCGCGCGCCGATCCAAGAAATCCGCACGGAGCTCCGAAAGTTTACGTTTATGCAGGTTTTCTTCTTCAAATCTGGGTGGCCCAGGGTGTTGCCCACCCCGTGGACGCCCGCTCTGTCCGAGCCGCCCCGCTCCTCCTCGTCGGCGTGCTGGATACCGCTCTCGATCTCCTTGGCGATCCGGTCGGCCTCCGCCGCGCAAGCCCGGCCAGGAAAACCAGCTCGGAGGAAGTTACGCATTCGACGATGGATTCCATGTTACCCTTCAACCCTGGGCGGTCTTCGGCGGTCTTCTGGCGGTCTTCGGCGGTGTTCTGACGGTTTTCGGCACGAAAGCCGGATAGTTGTGGATACCACAAAAGGGTCCATAATTTAAATATTGAAGGGAGGTGGACTCGGGCTCGGGGCGGCGAGGGAGGAAGCGAGTCCTAGGAGTTTCGCGAAAGCTTCAAGAGCCATTAGGCCCGATTTGAGGGGCCATCGGTGCGGAAGGCTGAGGCGAATGGCCCGAATCCCTAACCCAGACGTACATAAACCGAGCCTCTGATGGCCGCTCACGGCCGCCTTCGCGGGCCAGCGTGTGCAAGGCTACCACGCTGCTGTGCAGAGAGGAGGAGGAGAAGAAGGAGGAGAAACAGGACGAGGACAAGGACGAGGACGAGGAGGAGGAGGAGGAGGAGGAGGAGGAGGAGAAGGAGGGGTAGGGGTAGGGGTAGGGGTAGAGGGACGAGGAGGGGGAGGAGGAGGATGGGGAGGAGAAGGAGCAAGAGGATCAGGAGGAGGAGCAGGAGGAGGAGGAGGAGG